AATTAGAAAACACATCCCCTCCTATATATAATTATTATTTTTTTTTTTTTCATTAGAAAACACATCCCCTCCTATATATAAATCCTATGAATAAATGGTCCATGGAGCGCTTGGAGACTTATCTTGTGTTATATCATTTAGAGCAATGCTCTCTAACCCACGTCCCACGGTGAGTACATGTTAATATGCCACCGCTTATGTGGCATTCACACACTGGTGGTGTTAATATGTTTAAAAAAATATATCATTAATGTGTGCATGCCACATAAGCGGTGGACATATTAACATATGTCAACGGTAGGTAGAGTATCATTACTCAGGGGATCATTACTCATATAATTCAATATCGCATCATCCCTTTTGTTTTACGATTTAATGTGTCAATTAAGAGTACTTCATGCAAATAAGTACTTTTGGTCTTCTAGGTAACTTTTAAGATCATATTACTTGTATGTAAATTATAAAATATTACAAAATTAATAAATTTGTTATATTTGTGATCTGTTTTTGTGTATGGTATATTAACATAATCAGTTTTGTTGATTTTGAATTTTTACATTCATATAATTTATATATAGTGGTGTAATTTGAAATAATAATAATGCATCTTTGAAGAAATAACTGAATATATATACATAATGCCGTTCAAATGAGAGCCTTGTCAATACGTAAGAATCGTGAGAACCTCTATTTGCAATTTTGAATAGCGCTATGGTTGATCAAGTTAGGTGGAAATTTTCATGATGTATTTTATTAAAAATAGCAACATAATTTATATTAGAATTTGTGAAAATGAAAACCGTGTAATATAAAAAAGAACATCAAATACGGTTATCGCTTCATACACAATTAAAAATACGATCAAATACGGTTCTCACAATGGAATTAGTTTTTATAACCTATTGTCAATTTTGGTGCTTCATAATCTTATATGTTAATTTTTTTTCATTTCTTCCGAGCAATTTAATGGCCCTTTTACATTTTACTACACCTTGAAAAATCTTTTACGAAAGTATGATATTAAAAATAAATCATATATAAACAATTCGTAAACAGGTCATAAACAAAAATAACAATGTATAAACTAATAACAAAAATAAATCACAAATCAATAATTTATAATCAGTAAAAGCTAGTTTATTTCCTACTAATAAAAAAAAAATCATAAATGTGTGAATAAAAAGAATTATGAGTTAACGACATAGTTATCTACATTTTAATACACATCTAGGACATTCAGAATTATAAAATATTTATCTAATTCAAATCACCAATATATTTTAAATTAATATTTTTTCTTTTGTTTTTTTGTTTTTCATCTATATTAAATTAATTATTATTTTAAAGATATCTGATTTAACATCCGTATTGCACGTATAAAAAATAATTAATTTTTCGAAATAATAATTAAATGATCTATCAATCCTAATTAGAAAAAAGTTAGTTGTGATGTGATGACATCATATACGTAAAATCCATGAAATTCAATGTTTAGGTTATGTGAAAAATGAGAAATTAGATAATCTTTCGTAAACAGTACATAATTTAACTGGAATTCAAAATGAAAAGTTAACAAGAAAACACTAGCAACAGACAGGTGAACTCGAATTCAAGAAGAAACACACCATTTATTCAGCACAACAGAAACTGATGAGACCACAGCTTTTGGCCAGACAACAAATGGCTCTTCCTGTTTTACCCTCTCACGAAATGGTTGGCAACAAAAGCATCGACTCGCGAGTCTTCAGATATTTTAAGAGATGAAATTGTCTGAGCCGCAAGATGCCCAGCCGATAAGCCAACTGAACCCCAAACGTTACCCAAGTATTGATAGTAAAAGCCTCTGCCCACGTTATTGATGGAGCCCAGCTCGTTTGAATGTCCCCAGAAATTAGACATTCTCCCATGTCGATTGCTGTTGGTAATCATGCCATCAGTTTTGCATGGATTTCTCGAAAGATAATAAGCATGGGGCTGTCCTGACCCTGTAATGAAGCCGATGTCGCTAGCATGATCCAAAGAGGCCAACTCCTATACAAAGGAGAAGTGGAAAACGATTGTCGAAAAACAGGAAAAAGTTCATTAATAATAGGATTTTTATTCTTAACATAACATGCTGCATTAGCACAAAGATTTGACAAGTAGCATATGATTTAAAGAAAAGTTTTAAAATAATCCATAATCACTCCTTATTTCGATTCCGCAGCTGAAACAAATTTCTCCAGTACAGATTTATCTGTACAGAACGATTTCTCAAACCAATTAAAACAAAGAAACATTGATACATACATTTACAGTAATCAAGGGAGACGAGAAGCAATAATTTTCTCCCCAAACAAACAACACTTCTATATATTTCAACAATAAAAACATCATTTAACTTGTGAGTTAAAGCATACTTGTGGCTCATTCTACGTGCCGCGAGGGTATACATATATAACAAATCATCATAAATAACGATCGGTCATTTATACAGATTATTACTTATTCTACAGAACCAGGAAATTACTTTTTTTCATTTGTATTAAACCCAAAAGTAACAATGCTTTTTAAAAAAAAAAACGTACGGACAGCTTCATACCCTTTCCAAGTTATCCGTGTCTTCACCAAGTAGGACTTGCAGTGCAACTGCCTCAGCTATTGCAGCACCTTCTTCATCGAGCCTATCCTGTTCTTCTTTTTTCTTCAGCGTTTTTTTCTCCAGTTCAGAGCGTATGGCTGCAGATGTAGCCAAAGCCTTCTCCAAACGCCTTCTTTTCTTCTCAGCCTGTTTAATCCGATCTGATCCGTCCTTCACCGGTTTTTTCTTTGACTTTCTAACACTAGCTGTTACTTTAACACTCTCCATTATAATTTGTATCCAGATGAAATTTGGATTTCCCTTTCGTTCCAAAAGAAAAATTTTGCTAAGGTGTATACAGTATCTAATTACATGTATATGTCCCCTTCTGTTCCCGTAACTTACAATTCGATACTAAACTAACTTAAATGAAAACTTGGAAACTACTTAAATATGTCAATCCTATAATACCTACACAACCTCGGGTCTGAACGAATACCTCATTTTTCTGACGCTACATTCCCAAAAAGAAATAACAGGAGACAAAAGAAGTGAAAATTGGTGACTGCTTAAGTATCTATCACACATCATTCTTCCTAGTTTTGCCTGGGCCTCGCCACTCATTTCACAAGAAAAAGGTTAAAGAAGGGATTAAAGACAATCTCATACAACTAGCTCTATCGATTTAAAACAGCTCACATTGCTTCCCCTCCTGCAACACACGGAGAATAACTCAGTTATATCTGGCAAAAGTAAAGCATCATAACTCAAGGCCAGTGCCCACCCGACGCAAATGGAACAATCACACAAATACGAAATGCATACAATTATAACACATAACAATCAAAACGAACGAATATTTACTATAACATATATTGCACAACAAATCAAAGAAAACTGCTACGTAATCCACGGGAGTGATTGCCTGCTGTGTTTAAGTTTCCACATGAAAAGATGATCATATAATAAGTCCACTTTGATACCAAATAAAAGCACATATCTTCATACAGAAACAAATGCAATCAACCAAAATTGGCTAAAAATCTTCATTTCTTTTAGTTTATTTTCTCTTATCTTTTGTTGATATGACTCATATATTGACAAAGGAAGAAGGCAGGCTGATGCCTGCGAGCGTAACAGAGCGAATGTAGCGAGGGAAGCAGAGCGACCGAGCGAAGTGAGAATAATAAATACATGGTGTATTGATGTATTTGTGACTATTGAGAATAATAAAGATCCCTCAGCCGCCGTGGACGTAGGCATATTGCCGAACCACGTAAATCTTGTGTTATTTATTTTTTTTCGTTTTTTTTTTAATTCGTATGTCATATTGTCATCTTCACTCTACATCTTTCCAAATCACAACAAGGAATTTTTTTAAATCCAACACTAGCGTACCGTAGCTTCCCATTCACTTCCTTTTTACTAATCCAACCACTAATTCTAGTTTCTAGGGAAAAAAAAAAGAAAAAAAAGGCACAGAATCAAATATTTTATTTTTTTTTTTAAAAAAAAGGCACAGAATTCAATTTAAAAGACAAAAGCATCGTCTCAGGCTGATGATTCAATTTTAGGGAACTTATCAGCATTCATATATCAAATAATTTACACAGAATTGAGCCCAAAAGGTTAAAAAAACAAGGAATTAGACAAACCTGTGACGTTGCGGATAACAAGAAGAAACGGAGGAATAGGAAAGGGAAAAATAAGATGATTTGTATTTGACTTTTGAGAGTGATTGGATCTGTAATCAACGTGCGCTGTGAGAGAAAGAGAAGGAGAGAGAGTACAAAACGAAGATGATTAGTTAAGAATAGAAAAAAAAGAAAAGGACACGGATAAGATAAAAACTATAATCACGTACGTGGTGTTACCCACCAAAAATTTTAAATTGATCGTATAATTTGGCCAAACTCCAAAATTCTACCCTGTCATGAGTCGGCCTGGCCCGCCATTTCGACTCCAAACAGAACTGAACTGGCCCTTGGTCAATGGACCCAACTTGAGCCTATAGTTTGATAGGGCCGATTTTGGGCCTTGTGTATTTTTATTTTTTTTTGACTCGGTGGGTCGTGTTAGGCCGGGTCAAACCCGGTCCTGGGATAAGCCGGCGTGTTTTCCTACATATTTTTAATTTTTGAATGGGGAGGGGCCGTATTGGCAGCCGGAGCCCGCGCTACTCGATCGTTAGCTCATATTTGATCTAGGTCAGTGAATTTATTGACTGTTGGATTTTTATTATTATTTTTATATCTGGTTCGGTCCGAGTATCGAGTTCATGTTTGACCCGGCCTGCCCAGGTCCAACTGTCGGATTTTCAAATCCGACTGTTGGATCACCATGACCGTTAAAATCCAACGGTTCAGAGTGACAAACCCGATCGACCCGAAGGGTCCCAAAAAGATAAAATAAAAAAATCAGAAAAAATCTAGAGAAAAATCTATAAATACACCCCCACCCCCTTCTCAAACAGAATTTTCACACATCTTTAAACATATATCTCTCTTCTCTACTCTAGTTTAAGTTGTTGAAGTGCTAATTGTTAGTTTTTGTGCTCGGTTTTCTATAAAATTGGTACCAGATCTAGGGTAAGATAATATCAGATTTATGGTGTTTTAGTACCAGATATCAGGTCTTCAGTACCAACTCCGACGAACATAAGAAAACACCGAATTTCGCTCTCAAATGATGTTTTCATATGATCCATTATCACTCTCACATTAGTTTCTATGAGATTTAGTTAAGTTTAATCACAAACTGGTCACGAACTCAACACACTAATGAACAAACATTACTTATACACTTCACATTGAATGATACACTTCATCTCACTGAATGATCATACTTGATTACTCTAAATTCTACCTATATGCTTAAAATTCGACTATTACCAAATCAAGCGTGAACGATCTGTTAGCGTTATATACTGAAAGTTTGGCTTTGAATGATATTACACATTTACCCTTTATGAATGAGAAACATGTTAGATTAAACAAGTTCTATGTTCTGTTGTTTTACAATTAGATAGTGTGGGTCGTCATCGGACGAGCCAAAGATCATTCTATCAGTTACTTGCGAAACAAGAATTATGGTCCACAACCTAGATGAATATGAACACCCCATCATGAACGATTGTAGTGTCAACAGTACAGTTTGTCTTGACTGATTGGTTGCATTAGTACATTTATGTATTGAATAGGATCCCAGAGAGGAGCAGTTCGTTTTGTACTGATCGTCGTAAATGAACTAGGCCTCAGTTAATTGTTGCGTTTTCTTAACCCGTAAGATATTAAATAGACATATATATGCAGTATATATTATTTTGATTCACATGGGTGAGGTTTAGTGTGTGAACTGGATCAATAGTCCTACTGTCTTGGGTAATACTGTTGCATGTATGATGTGCTATTAGGATATTTACGGTTACCATGTACATTTAGTTTGATGATGTCACCAGAGTGAGTTCATGAAAGATTATTATGCTAAACCCTGCAGGTGGGTTAAATTCCAGCATAGTAATAATGCTTATATGATGTTTATATGACCCATTATCACTTTCACATTAGTTTTCATGAGATTTAAAATGTGTTTAATTAAGTTTCGTCACAGCTTTGTTAGGAACTCAACACACTAATGAACAGATACTACTAATACTCTTCATCTCATTTAATGATATAATTCATCTCATCGAACACACATTACCAGTCTAATTTCCACCATTATTTTCTAAGTTCGTCTAGTTTTCAACAAAATCATGTGTGAACAATCCACCTGAAATGGTAGACGTGAATGATTAATAAAATCACGCTTAGTAAAATGGTACTGTTTTTCTAGAAATAGTACCAATAATATTTGTATGCAGTACATGCTTTTAGTCAATTAGTACCTGCTTTGGTCAACCAATATGAATTACTTTAATTTTGGTCAATGTTTGTAAAAGTAGTACCACTCATAAGTTAGACAGTACCCATTAAATTGTAGTTTAGTACCCAATATCGCGTCTTCAATACCAATTCCAACCAACATAATAAAACATCGAATTTTGGTCTTAAATGATGCTTATATTACTCAAAATCACTTATACATTAGTTTATATGAGTATTTGAATGTGTTAATTAAGTTTCCTCGACAAGTGATCATGAACTCAATAGAACTTTAAGGTCTAATCAATCAAAGATTGCAAGTGTTGTCTCTCATCTTCTAATGAATATTGTGTTTGGTTTAGGCTTTTTGGGACGTATTCAATTGAAGCTTTAAAAACAAAATATGAGTGACTTTGTTCGACATTTTGGTCAACTTTTACAAAAATTAGTACCAGACCTAGAGTAAAATAGTACCAACTAAATGGTGATTTAGTACCGGATATCGGATATTCAGTACCAACTTCGACGAACATAAAAAAAACCGCACGCAATATTCATTATGGAAACAAATTTGTGTTTTGATTTCAATATAAATAAAGATCATCCCTTAGTATATCCACAACTGCAACATTACATATTTATTGCAATTAAAATCACTTAGGCGAAACATTTTGTATATGAAGTTGATAAACATAAATTGGGTGATATCTTATCATAGTATTTATTTATTTTCTTTTAAAAAAAATAAATGATGTGCTTAATTTTTAACAAATAAATATTTAAAATTCTAGTCCTTCTTGACGCACGGGGTTTCACAATAACTAATATAATATCGTCTTAACGACTATTTATATTGAAATTATATTCCTTTTAGTGTTTTAAAATATTTATAACGTAATTTGTCTCGTTTTGGCTCTTATAATACGCAGCGTAAATAGAAATTCGTGTTGCGTACACTATTTGAGTATAAAATTTTGTTTGTTAGAAATATCAAATTTTTGCATATAATAAAATTGGGTTGTTACTTTAATAAATTATTTTAATAATATTATCTGAAACTAAATTTTAGAATAAGATAATAGTTGAGTATCTATAACTATATAAATATATATATATATATAATTCCAGGCATATAACATTAAATTAAACCTATTTAATAAAACCTCTAAGTTTTTCCCACCTAAAACCGTTATATACATTTTTTTTTTTTTTAATCAAATATGTTCA